AGTCAAGCACTCAGCTGCTAACTGAAAGGTTGGCAGCTTGAACTGACTGCAGGAGAAAGATCTGGTTATCTGCTTCCAAAAGATTATAGCCATGAAGACCCCATGGGGGCAGTTATATTCTGTTACATGGGGTCACTATGAGTTGGAATAGCTTGACAGCACCTAACAATGGCAATCATGCACCAAATAGTCCTTCTTCCCACTGTTCTCTACTTCAGGCTGAGCACCTCCAGGATATTCAATCATTATTTACACAACCAATGTCATCAACTCAAATCGGAAATACAAATTGCTGTCTTTAAATAGCCTCCGAATTCATAGCTATTTAGATTCAGAGCTAAGAGCAGCTTAGAGACCACCAGCACTGGCCTCATCACTTTACAGATGGGCTAACTGAGGTTCACAGAAGAAAACTGCCTCATCTAACTTCATAGAGAGAGACAGAGAGTATACAGGTGGCCAACTTAAGATCTGAACCTTAGTTGCATGAGCCCCAATCTAGTGTTCCTTTCACCTTGGCCTGCCTTCTATTCTTCATAAGACACCAGTATTTCTCAATTTCTTGAAAGTCCTTGGGAAGTTTCTTCACTTAGTTATTTAAAAAAATTCCTCCTTCAAATTATATTTGCACTGTCAGTGAAGTAGGGATTAGCACAGAGCTGAATTTAGTAGAGGTTATGCTGTCAATGAAGAGTATCATTCAAAGCATGCTAACCCTCCTTGCTCTTTGCTGTCAGAAAATCATCTCCCTTGCCCTAGAAGGCTGACTCAAAGCAGAGAACACACCCACAGAGCCACCGAGGCCAGCTGAATTTCCAGTAAGGTCCAGTTACCTGCTCAATTTAGGAGACCTTCCCAACCTTGGAACTGAGAATGAGTTTGTCGGGCGTAAGGCCGCCTGTGTTGCTGCTTTACCCTACTCTGTTCATTTTGGAGTTTCATATCCTCTTTTTAATTTAGCCTGACTCTCTGATAAAAAGACAAAGCAGAGACTCAGAACAAACAAGGCACTTCAGTGACTGGTTTCCTGTCCCAGTCCCCGGCAACCCTGCAGTCACATGCTTTGACAGGAACGTTCCTGCCTGCCCCTACCCACAGCAATCTCCCTCCTCTCAACAAGGTATTGCATTTCCAGTTCTTACACTTGTTCTGGCACAAGCTGTCAGTGGCCCCATGCTGCTTCCTGGTCTGCGTATGTGCTAGGCTCCGTGGGCACTGGCGTCACACAGACCTAGGTTTCAGTTTTGACCCTGCAGCTAGCTTGTGTTTAGCAGTTACTTACCCTTCCTGAATCTCAGTTTCCTCATTCGTTAAATGGGGCTAATTATGCTACCAACATCATAAGGTTGCCAAGATGACGTAATACCTAAAAGGTGCCTAGCACAGTCCCTAACATTTAGTAAGCATTCTATAAAAGGTATCTGTTTGTTATTATTAATACCATGCTCCAAAAGATAGAGACAGAAGCCTATACCTTTCTCATGCTGTGCACACTACAGGCTCCCAAAATACCCACTGGCTGACCATGGTCTAGGTTCCGTCTGGCAGTAGGTTCATCATCAGAAACATCCTAAGCATTGTGCAAGGGCAGCTCTTATTCACAGCCTCCCTTTCCCCCAGATGCCTTCCCCCAATAATGCTCTCTGCCGGAAGGAAGGCCCACCCTGTGCCACCACTGTACACACCTGTCAGCTTGCCTCTCAGGATAAGGTTCTTGTCTGACAGAATCCGAGAACTTGCTGTCCAGGCAAAGAAAACTTTATGATGCTGAATCCAGCACAAATCTTATGTAACCAACCAGTCAGCAAACAGAGGGACAAAGGGACACAGACAACAGTCCCTCAAAGAAACAAAGCAAAACTAAAGGAGGTGGAAACTGAGGGATTGACGTATGCCTAAAATGTCCTTGCTTGACAAGACCTTCAGAGTTGATCAAAGTTCTTATATTGAAAGTATTCTTAAAGGGACCAGAATATGGCTAAAATCTCTTTTAGCTGGGAATCTGAACTGATGTTTACAGCTGAATTTTTTAACTGAAATTATACTAGCTACTCTATAAAAAGTGAAGGCCTCTCACAACCAAGAGTATTGATACAACATTGACATTATTTATTAATAATATTTAATATGCATGGAATTTACAAATGGTGACAGAAAATATTCCAACTCTTATTGAAATAAGACAATGGGAAATTTCTACCTGGAGTGAAGAGTTAAAAATCTCCAAGCTTCCCTAAGTGGAGAGGATATCCTAGTGGATTCTTGCCTAGTAAAATGAACAATTCTTTCACTTGTCCCTATTTCAGGTTATTTGTTTATTCCCTGAATTTTGTGTTAAGGACCCAAAAGAAGTAAAAACATATGCTGAAATGAATTTGGTGTGTTACAACCCCAGGGAAAATCTTCCACAATTGAGGGTGAGGGCAGATCTCAATGACAATTTGGTCAAGAGAATACAGCTGCTTCTGGAATGGCAGATGGTCTCCCTGGCTTTAGCTGGCTCTGATACTCCTGGCTTTTTACCTTGGACAGGTCATTCCCTCTCTCTGGCTTTTGGTCTCTTCAGACATCAAATGCTTTCTACCAGCTCTTACCAGTCTGAGATCCTGTGAGGCTACTGAGTGTGTGAAGATTAGCTGAAGAAGCTGCCCACACCTCTGGAGGAGGGGCTCAAGGCAGCAGAAGGAGAACACGGTAATAGGTATGAAAGCCCTCTGAGAAAAAGGAAAAGTGGTCAATGGCACCCTTTCCAATTGGTCATGGCACATTTCAAAACCACGGGCACCTAACATTTTCCTGAGAGCTCAGTGTTCACTCATCCAGACATCCCATCACCGAGCTGACAGGAAGCGGAGAAGCCCAATGCTTTTCTGGATGGGGACCTTGGCTGGGACAAAAGGGAAGAGAAAAGTGGAGTCAGCTTCATGAGTGAGTGAAATGACAATGAACCCTGCAGACTGATCCTCTCCAGCCTGGCGTTGCCAAGGAGGATGATCCACTCCATCAGACCTGGGCCAAGCTCTGGCTCAGACACACAGGCAAAAATAGAAAAAGAGGCGGTGGCAAGGTGAGGGGGGAGGGAAAATGTGTTTACTTTTGTGATTTTTCCTCATGTGCCTCTTAACTGTACTATAATCTCTCCACAAACAGATAGTAATGGCCCACAGCCTTCTCCTCCCTTGAAAAACCCTCCCAAACGATCCTGCACAGACCTAAGCCTGCTGAACATCTCATGGTCAGTAACCAGGCAGCTGGAAAGTTCTGAAGTCAGCATGATAGAGTGGAAAGGACACTGGCCTGGGGTCTGTCACTGACTGGGTAAACTGTGAAAAATGCCTTTCTGAGGCTCTGTAAAATAAAGTCATTGCATTAGACAGAACCTAAAAATCTGTTTAGATTTTAGAAGTTTATACTAGTTGTTCTCAACCAGGAGCAACATCGCCATAGCTTTCAGAGGCTCTGCAAGATAAAACTGCTGCATTAGACAGAATCTAAAATCTGTTTAGATTTTGAAAGTTTATACCAGAGATTTTCAACCAGGGGAGATTTCACCTCCGGGGGCATTTGACAGTGTTTGGAGACATTTTTAGTTGTCACATCTGGCTGGGTGGTGCTACTGGCATCTAGTGGGTAGAAGCCAGAGATGCTGTTAAACATTCAACAATGCACAGGGCAGTCTCCCCCCACCCCATGACAAAGAACTATTTGGTCCAAAATGTCAACAGTGCGGACACTGAGAAACCTGCGTTTATACTGAAGTGAGAGGGGTCAAATGAAGAAGGAAAACGGGACAGAAGGAGGAGGGGTTAAAACCTTGTTTCTAGATTATGAGGTATTCATAGTTATGCATTTCCCAGCTTTTCCTGGTGACCAGTGCCTTGTTTATTTTCCCTTGGAATGATGGGCTATGTTTGAGTAGATTTTTCATAAGAACATCTTCTCTATTCCCTTAAAATGCCAAGCCCTGAAAAAGTACAAAGCTCTTCATTATAAGACATGGCAAAGATGTAAATATAAGCAGTTATTAAAGAAGTAGAACTGAAAGGTGGGTGGTGGGGCTGTGTGGAGGGACAAAGCATATGCCTACAATCCCATTTCTATGAGTCAGTGTTTCTGATGTAACAACACAGAATAAAAACTGCGGGCTGAGCCGAGCTATGCTGGAAGCAGGCAGAACTGATTTGGGGCACAAATGTTAGGAGAGATACAGGTTTGGAGCAGCAGATTTCAAGGTAGGTGAAAGGGTTAAGCAATCAGCACATGTCATTCCTGGATCATTCCTCATTAAGTCACTGAGCAGTTATTACAAATAGTTACCTGCGGTTTCCAGTGGGGGAGGCAATAACACTCCAGTCAAGGGGTTTTGGAGAAACAGGTGCAATGAAGTCATGGTTAAACAATTTATTTACTGTAAACTTTAGACTTTGCTCAGGAAAACAACTGAAGCTGCCCCTCAAATCCCTGCCTACAACACCCCGTTTGAGCAAATAAGAGGAGCAGGGAGAGTCCATGTTCACAGCTGAAAGGTCCGAGATACTCAAGATCCTCAAGTCCAAGAGTGCAGGAAGGAACATCTCCTTCAGATGCAAATTACCAGCAGCAATATATTACCCCTAATACTTGACCAATGAGGTAGATACACGGAAGAGTCGTCAAAACATAGCAGACCCAGGTCCTCTAGGACAAAAGCCCTTCAGATATAAACTTAAAAGTTCCATGCAAAGAGGAACTGAACTGTACAAGAAACAAATCACTCAAATATGCTTTCTCTTTTTTTACAGCTTAAAAAAATAATAATAAAAAAAGGCAGAAGGATTTGCTTCCTCCTGCACATCTCTATACAATTTTATTCTAAATTTATTACACTCAAGTTAAATAGTCTGTTTAGTGTTCCTTGGGGAGGGGGGAGTCTTAAAAAGTAGAAAAACTGCACTACAGCAGTGAGTCATTTGTGCTACAATTCCTCCCTCGTGAATCAATGCTATCGTTAGGCACAATACCTTGACAGTTCACAAAGTCTTGCATGCCTGGGGGATCCTCACACAGCAGTTCACTTTCCTTCTCCTGCCCCAGGTGATATCCACTGTGCTCCCCTGTGTAGTCGGTTTTGCTGTTGCTGTTGTTGGAGTAGCCGTTCCCATAGGCCTTCAGAGAAGACCTGTGCAGGCACAGAAGCTCCTGGAAGGCAATCCTAAAATCTGGGCTTCGGCAGTAAATAAGGGGATTGAAAGCAGAATTGACATAGCCCACCCAGTTTAGGAGGATATAAACTTCCTTAGAGATGAGGTTGTCCTGGATCACATGCACAATGTTGACAATGAAGAAGGGCAGCCAGCAGAGGGTGAACGTGCCCATGATGATGCCTAAAGTCTTGAGGGCTTTGTGTTCCTTCAAGCAGAACTTGGAGGACCTGCGATGTCCATGGCCGCTCCGCCCGTCCTGCTCCATCTGGTTCAGGTTTTGAGTGTGGAAGCGGCCCTCAGATTTATCAATCTTCTGGAGCTGTCTTTTGGCCACTTGGAAGACCCTGGAGTAGACAAAGACCATGACCACCAGGGGCAAGTAGAAGGACACAACGGAGGAGGCAATGGCATAGGCTTGGTTCGTGAAGAAGTCACAGCAGGTTTCTTTGGCATAGCAGTTGATAGCTTCCTGATGGGTGGCCCGGTACCAGTGCATCTGGATGGGCAAGAAGGAAGTAAGGCCTGACACGATCCATACCATCAAAATGACCACCCTGGCCTTATTCTTGGTCAGCAGGCTCTGGTACTTGAAGGGTGATGTGATGGCAAAATAACGATCCACTGCGATCACACACAGGGTTTCGATGCTGGCAGTGACGCATAACACGTCAATGGAGGTCCAAAACTCACACCAGAAGTTGCCAAAAGTCCACATTTTCATGAGGATGTGGCTGGCCCCAAAGGGCACCACCGCCAGGCCCATGACCAAGTCAGCACAGGCCAGCGAGGTGATAAAGTAGTTGGTGACCGTTTGCAGACGCTCAAACTTGGCGATGGCCGTGATGACCAGCACGTTACCAAACACGATGGCCAGGATGATGAGCGACATGACGATGCCCATGCCCACTACCCACGCCTCGTCCCGTTCTTGCGTGACGTTGTGGTCCGGCTCGTGGCTTCCGTTGGGCGCCAGCAAGAAGACGCTGCTGTTCCCGGGTTGCCCCATGGCGCGCAGGCTGGCAGGTGAGCGCACTGGCTGCAGGCGCACTAGCGGCGTCTCAGCTGGCAGACCTCCGGCGGGGCGCTGCGGGAGGCGAGCGGACGCCTGGAAGCCTCATTCAGCGGCCATGGGGTGGGTGTGGTGGGGTGCGTCCTGCATACTCAGCTTTGTGGGGTGCCCTGGGCTCGCCGTGCCTGTCAGTTGCAGCCTGCGCTCTGGAGAAGCCGCCTCTGAGTGCGCCCTGCCCGTTATGTGCACTGACTTTTGGAGAACTGCCCTCCCTGTGACGTGCTGCAACTTTCCGCCAATGGCGCGCGGGCAGCCCCGAAAGGGCGAGGCCCCCCTCCCTTCCCGCCCCCTCCCTACCCTAGACCGCCCCCTCCTGGGCCTGGCTCGGGCGGGGCTCAGCTGCTAAGCAGTCGGCAGGCGGGCCACCACTCCCTGCCGGCCACCCTGGCCTGCTCCCAGAGTGCTAAGGCTGGGTCCGGCGGGCTTTACAGCCACCCAGGAGCTTTGGGCTCTTACATGGCTGCTACCTGTCTGTCCTGGGAGCCTGTACGCAATGAGGTCTTAGTACAGCCGGCAGCACATGTGCACTCCCCCACATACGGAAAAAGAGGCTAGAGTGCCCACTGAGACACGCAGGTACAGGCACAAATGCACCCTGACAGGCATGCTCAGACTTATACGGAATCACAGCCACAGACACCGAGACACACCCGTCTAGCGCACCAACAGGCACACGCGCGCGCGCGCACACACAGAGAAGCGGACAGGCACAAAGTCACCCCTGTCCGACACAGAGACGAGGCCAGAAACAAACACAGAAACACAAAAGCGTAGCCGCACACGCAGAAAGAAGTGAAGCCACAGGAACCCTCAATCGGAGGCATGCAGAGCAACCCAGACAGGGACGTCCGTCCCTATCCCTACTCACAAAACTCCCTCACTGAAGCTTTAATAAATGAAGCCCCCACCCCTATTTCCACCCTCCCCAGAGACACCCAGCATATTCCTTTTCAAACATTTGGCAAGACCACAGGAGGTGACTTCAGCAGCTGCCAATTTCCGCAGCACACTCGCTGTCAAGTACTTTTGGTGCCCTCCTTGGGAATTTTGCGGGCATTGAAACATAATTTTACTCTATGGATTTCATTCAGACTGGGGTCTTCTTGTATGTATTTGGGGGTGGAAGGAGAAAGTTGTATGCTCTTGTTTTTAATGCTTGGAAATCTGGCATTGTTCCCTCATTATCTGTTAGAATGAAAATGTGTTGAAAATGGGATCATATTCATTTAAACGTGGAATTCTTCAGTAACCTCACTGCAACTAAAACAAATCCTTTCATTACTCCATGGTTTGTTAATCTATTTGGTTGAACCACATGAAATTGCCAGTATTTGGATGTGCTTGACCCACAAAATGGCAATTTCATATGGTTCAATCTATTTAGAATGTGTTAACATTAAGAATATTTTGAAACTACAGAAAGCAAAAGATAATTGTTCCTTGTTACAAAAAAAAAAAAAAAAAAAAAAAAAAAAAAAAAAAGCAGACCAGTCTTAAAACCAAAGTTTTTGTCCCACAAAATACTTTGCTTTGGCATCTGGCGTATGACTTTACTGTTATGAACAAATTAATGCCCAGTGTTTGACTTCATATGTATCAGTCGTGTCTTTGAAAAACAGAAAGTATTTCATGCAGTGTAGTCAAACATACTTTGCAGAGTACATAATAATATAACAACGGACAACATTTATGGAACATTTCCTGTGAACTATTCATATATTATTCCATTTAATCCCTCCTACAATCCCATGGAGGGGTACTATTTTTAGCTTAATTCCCACATGGGGCTTAAAGAGGGAAATAGGTTGCCCAGAGGCACATGGCTAGAAGCAAAATTTGAACCCAGGTTTGTCTGACTCTAAACCCATCTTTTAATCTTTTCAACATACTGTCTCATTATAGGAGCCCTGGTGGCGTAGTGGTTAAGAGCTTGGCTGCTAACCAAAAGGTAAGCGGTTTGAATCCATCAGCTGCTCCTTGGAAACCCTATGGGGCAGTTTTACTCTGTCTTACAGGGTTGCTATGAGTTGGAATCGACCTCCATGGGTTGGGTTTCAGTTTGGTTTTCCTTCGGCAAATTACAAAGATGAAGCCTAATTTCATTTGTCTCTAAAGGGGGAATAAAGTAACTTGTTTCTATTCCTATTGGATTTAGTGAGAATCAATTGGTCTCAATAAATATGAAAATACATAAATATGAAAGTGCTCTTGCACACATAAATGCCACATAAATATGGGTTACAATTAACTTTTATATAAATTACTTAGTTTAGCATATACTGTTAGTCTCCTCTATCAGACAATAAAATACTTCAAGACAGAAGTCAGTTGATTGTTTACTGTAGAAGTAAAGCTCAGAGACCGTATTCAACTTACATGTTCCCTTTAACTTCCTTCAATAGCAGGAGCTGTTTTTCCAAGACAGATGCCTTAAAAACACTCACGTTTCCCATACAAGCCACAAATATTAATTAAGGATCTATTATGTTCATATGGTTTTCAAAACATACCCAGCTCATATTTGTGTTTTCCAAAATTGGCTCTGGTATGATGCATTTTAGGAAGAGGCAGTGTCTGTTATGTAACAATGCTTCTTTAAACATATGTCTACCCCGAATTCTGGAACTAAGCCATTTAAAACCTCCTTCCTGTTTGTGAAACTATGGAATAAATAAGCATACTGTTTAACTTTCATATACAAAAAAAGGATCAAAGAAAACCCTTTTAGAACAAACACTAATTGATCACTTAAATATACACACAAGTCACTTAAAAGTTTAACTTTGAAAATTTTGGGAAATACCTTTTAAAAACAGCACAAACACTAAATCGAGAAGGGAAAACTGCTTATGTCGACTAAGAAGTTCCAAGCCCTTCCCACCAGCCTTGCCAAACGGATAATCTCTCTCTCTCTCTTTGCTGTATCACCAAGCTAGTAGGAATTTCAAGATGTTGTCTTCTTGCCAAGAGTCTTTTCTCCTGACCTCCTTTTAAAATAGGATTAAAGAAAGTTAGAATGAAAAAGAGTTTAATAGATCATTTAGCTTATTTTCTTCAGTTTGGAAGTGATGAAACTGAAGCGCAGAAAAGTGAAGTGTCTTGTTCAAGGTGGCAGGGCAGATTAGGAGTCTAGGTCTGCCTCCTGGCCTGGCATGCTGTCACTGCCCAGCACTGCTGTTTCATTTCCCAGCAGAGGAGTTTGACAAGCACTGCTTATTGTGCTTGTAGCCTTAGAGAGTTAATGCTTCAGTTGAGCTGGGAAGTTGTTAGTAGACTAAATGCACCTTTATCTGATGTAAGAAAAAGCAGGCTCTTTTATGGTGATTGATAGTGTCTAATTACATATTTTGTCAATCCCTTAAGACAGTGATTGGTAGCTTCCTGTCTGCCAAACAGGAAAGCACACACACACACAGATTTTGGTTTACTTAATGAATATTTAGGAGTGATGTTCTGTGGTGCCAGAGAATGCCCTCCACCAACAGCTGGATGGATTAGGAAAACCTATCATGCGTCTTGGTTAAGACAAGTTCCCGCCCATCTTTATGATTCTTTGAGCAGAGAAATATCTGTAGATTTCTTTCTAAATGATTGTTTTAAATGTATGTCTTTAATATTACCTTCCTAAAGTGTTATCTATTAAATGAGATTAAATGCAAGTAAAGTGCTTAGTGCAATGCTTTGGAAAAGAGGTAGCTATTACTGTTATCTTATTTTTGAATAAAAGAATATACATAGAAAGCGTATTTGTCTTATCTGCTTATATGTGTGAAAGGACACTTTGAACATGGATAATGAGTAATTTATTTTTAATTTGAATTGCTGTGAAAAATAATTGAAAAAAGGAGCATAACACGGGTCCTTAGAAAGGAAAGAAGAATGATTCTGAAATTATCATTGCCATTGAGTTACATGGCTGGGTGGATGTTAGTCATTTTTGAATGAAGCATCTCACAGTCTAGTCACCTCCTTACCCAATGCATTCACCGAAACTCCTACAGAGTCATCTCTAGTGAGGGCAAGTTGATCAGCCGCTTTCTTTGGTGTATATTTCTCTGACTATCCAGTTATTGAGCTGAAATCCATCCTCTAATAGCATCTACCATGGCCCTTAAGTCTGCCCCCTTGAGGCTACTCAAAACAAGTCTCTGTATTCTCTAAGAATGCTCCTAAGCTTTTGGGAGATTCCCTGAGATTTGCCTGAGCCTTCTCCTATTTAGGTAAATTATTTCTGGTTCCCTTGGGTAAAGTCCGCTTTACTGTCATGACAGATATCTTCTGTTCACACTTGGGTTTGTCAATATCTAAACTTAACAACAATACCTGGAATGATCCTAGAACAAGTCATCGAGCAATCAATTTACAATCACCTTGGCGACCATAAAGTAGAGCAGAGCAACCATCAAAGCTTTCCAAACAGCTGATTGTACCAGATGAATTTAATTTCCTGCTATGCTGGAGTTTTATAAGAGACATGCTAATAAATTCTCCACATCTCAGAGGGACTGAACAAAGGGAGATGGCATTAAATTAAAGCAGGGGAGATTTCAGTTGGCCATATGAAGGACTACTTGGGCTAAACTAGTAGCTTTTCTTAATTGGCTTCTGCAAGAGAATCAAACCTTAAAGAAAATTATTTGAGTGACTACATTTCTCATTTCTCCCAAGGATGATACATAGCTTGGTTGGACCAGACATAAGAGAGAGACATAAGAGAGAAGTTAAATTATTACATATAATGGGTATCTTAGACCACAGTGCTTAATTATCTCGTTGAACCTGAGAAGGGGTGCTTGGAGTCTCCTTCAGCAGGTGAATCAATGGTATGCAATGGAGCCGATGGAAGCAGTTTGGTCTAGAGAAGAGAGCACGGATAGGGGATAAGGAGACCTACGTTCTAATCCTAGAACAGCTATAATGTGCCATGTAACCTTAAACAAGAGGAGATTGGTAGCTTAGTGGTAGAATCCTCACCTTTCATGTGGGAGACCTTGGTTCGATTCCTGGTCAATGTACCTTATGTACAGCCACCGCCTGTCTGTCAGTGGAGGCTTACGTTTTGGTATGATGCTGAACAGTTTTCTGTAGAGTTTCCAGACTAAGATAGACAAGAAGAAAAGCGTGGTGATCTACTTCCAGAAAATCAGCTAATGAAAACC